ATCACTCTTAGGGTGAGGTGCACCATGCATGGTCATCAACTTTCGAGTTTTTCTGTCCAATTACTTCAGCTCCTCTGTTGTTCACTTTAAAGCTCCTGTTCCGTACTACAGCACAGCAACTGCCCATATATTGACTGCCATGATCTTGTTTCCCCCATGAAGTTTTGAGCTCTGAATCAGCTTGAGGCGTCTCTTATATAATTCCTTCTTGAGCTGTTGTTTTATTTCTTCGTCGCTTACTTTATTTAGATCTAGAATCCTGAGGTATCTGTATCCACCTTTACCCACTTCATTTATTATTTCCCTGCTGGTAAGCTAAGTCTTTCACATCCAACCACCTTAGCTCTCTCCAAAACCAACACCCCGCATTTTTGAAGACCCATTCCAAGTCCTTAATCATTGTATGCACAGTATTCACGAGGGATTCCACTTGACTCTCCCTTTTCCCAAACAGCTTTAAATCATCCATAAATAACTGGTGATTTAATCATTGTATTTCCTATGATGTAGCCTTTATTTAGTTCTCTCAGTAAAGGGTCAGCGGTAGTGTACATTACAAACAGTAGTGGTGGCAAACTGACTATCAGCTTGAAAGATGCCTCTTCGAATTTTAACTTTCTCTAATCTCACCCGATGATATTAAATTTGTCTTCTAACCTTGCATGCTTTCTATTGTAAACACTCTGATGCATATTGTGGGCAATTTTTTAAGAGGTCTGGGCACTCTATTATCCAACCGTTTGGAACCAGGTCGAAAGCTTTCCCGTAATCCACCCATGCCATTGATAAGTTTTTGTCTCTTCTTTCAGTCTTGCGGAATCATCTTATGACTCAACAGATGATCTTTTGTCCCCTAACTGCTAGCCTGCGAGCAAGCTCTCCTATTTAGGCAAGCGAAGCGAGCCTCGCGAGAACGCGCATTCTCGCGAGACTCGCTTTTCTCGCCCAAAGAGGAGAGCCTGCTCGCAGGCTACCTAACTGCCTTTTCGGCATCTCCTTTGCTCTTCTGGCAGAAAATTATTTTTAATCAGGAAGTTGTACGTGCTTTCCGAGACCACCCAACCTGTCGACAGAGTTCACATAAAGGGTAGACATGGTATTGGACGATAATTGTTTACCCCATTCCCAGGGTCTTTAAACTCAACAATTTTTTTGCCCAGCGTCATCCACTCTGCGATCACCTTCCTCCCATTCAGAACATCGTCAAGCTGTTCTGCAATTCGGTCATGAAGGGAGGTCAGCTTCTTCAACCAGAATCCTTGAACTCTGTTTGCTTTGTGCTCTTACCGTTTCTTCCGTGATAGTCACATTGTCTTGCCTGACAATTCCGTTCTTTGTTCACAGTTCCCCCTTTATTCAACCTTTATTTAAAAATTCCTAGTCTTGCAAAAGGAGTGCCATTGCGCAAGACGTCTAGCTTAACATATAAAATTAAGTGTATAATAATGATAGTAAGCAGGTTGAGTACGGTCCGGGTGTACGTAGTCGAAAAGGACTGCTGTTGTTGCCAGTGACTGGCGTTTCGACAGCCTTTGCGCTAGTCATCTTCAGAGTCAAAGCGAGTTGTATCACGTCAGTAGATAGTATTGGTCGTCAGATGGATGTTATTGGTCGTCTGTCAGTTTAGCCGTGATGATATTGGCAATGAAGACTCGTAACTCGTCAGTTAGGCTTTGACAGCTTTTGCTCGCAAAAGTGGCATAATATTCTACTTAGCAATGTTCGTTTATTTCTAAAATTATGCCCTTTATTAGTCTCTTTTATTTTGAATTACGCTAGTCAAAAATGCAGAAATGCTGATAGCTTCTACTGTGTACAAGTAAATGGCAAACCCGTTCACTCTATTTACATCTAGAAACTTTAAGAGTCCATAATTCATTGTCTGACAACTACTAGTAACAACCAGCACGCGGATGCCATCTTCAGTTGGTTAACTGAATTAGTTATGCGCATGCATTGAGTTCTGTGGAAACAGTCGTGAGTCACTTCCCGAAGAGAAAAAATTAATTTCGTTAATTACGTCAATTTGCCTGTAAGATTGAGCTCGGCTCGGTTGCATGATCAATAAATGACCATTTTGTACTGTAAAACTAGATAAAAGTGTAAATATGCCAGCAGACGAGTGCTATTTTTCGGAAAATAGGTGAAAATAATGCTTGTGATAACAAATTATGCCAAAAATTATGCTAGGACAATTTTTCAAAGCCTATAATAGCAGCTAGCTTACTTAAAGAAACTAGTGCCTTGAGAAGCCGAAGTCATGCAGCTATCCTTGAATTGGGCGCTGAGCTATTTACTAAATGCTTTGTTTTAAACTTTTTACTTGACGAATGCCAACTTTGAAAACAGGTTGATGTACAGTATTGTGCAAAAGAAATGAAAGCTGATGTCGCCGAAATCTGCGAATTTCGGCGAACAAATTGTGAACTTTCCATTCAGACGAAAAAGTGGCTAAATCTTGATACATCTATTGTTCTAACGTCGACGAAATTTCGCATGCTTGATGATGAACCGAAACGAAATTTCGCAGGTGACTTCAACTGCGCTCTTTCTGAAAATGACAAAAAAGGAGGAAATCCAGTTTGGAAAAAATCCACAGTAATTAAAGAAGTTCAGCATCTTGCGAACCTCTATAATTTAACAGACATTTGGCGCTATCGCAATCCGAACGACAACCGCTTCACTTGGAGAAACAAATCGCTAAAAATCCAATGCCGACTAGACTTCTTTTTAATTTCAAAAGAACTCAGCAGTGACACACATGCTTGCAATATAATTAACGCCTCTGAAACTGATCACTCGGCTGTCACTTTACATCTTAAGACAGAAGATTTATTGCAACCTAAAGCTCCTGGTTTTTGGAAATGTAATAATTCTCTATTAGACGACGAAGACTTTACTTCCGCAATCCGTGAAAGTCTACCGGATTTCAAAGATAAATATGCTGACCTGGATGACTTAGGTCTAAAATGGGACTTAATTAAAATGGAAATTCGCGGATTCACAATAAAGTATTCAAAAATCAAAGCTAAGAACAAGAGGAATGAAGAGGCTGCCCGTCAAAATAAAGTTAATGAACTTATGCAAAAGTGTGAACAAAACCCTAGCGACAAAAGGATATTGAACGAGCTTTACGCGACAAAATTGCGCCTTCAAACGATCATGCGACAAAAAACAGAAGGCGCCATTCTTAGGAGCAAAGCTCGGTGGCATGAGTTTGGTGAGCGAAACTCCAAATACTTCTTCAACCTGGAAAAACGAAATCATTTAAAAAAAACAGTCACAAGGCTCAAACTTCGTAACAATCAGGTAACTTGTGATCAGTTTGAGATACTACAAGAACAAAAAACTTTTTTTGAAACTCTTTACAAGTCGCAAAATTCCCAGGATAATCTGCCTGAATCTGATTTATTCAATTTAGAGAATATTGATCCGCTAGATGAAAACGAACAAATACTGTGTGAAGGCATGATTTCAAAAGAAGAATGCTTAACTGCCTTAAAAGAGTTTAAAAACAATAAAACGCCAGGAACTGATGGTTTTTCTGCAGAATTCTACAAATTCTTCTGGAGTGACCTTGGCACTGAGATGACTGCCAGTTTTAATTATGCTTTCCAAAAAGGTTCACTATCTATCAGCCAAAAGGGCGGAATTATTTCACTCATCCCCAAAAAGAACAAAGACAAAACTTTACTTGAAACCCTGCGACCCATATCTCTACTAAACGTTGATTACAAAATTCTGACAAAATCTATTGCAAAAAGACTAGAAAAAGTCCTTCCTAAAATCATAAACTCTGACCAAACTGGTTACATTAAAGGACGCTTTATCGGTGAAAACGTTAGACTAATTCAAGATGTAATGTCTCACACTAAGCAGGAAGAAAAAACCCCGGTATTGCCATATTTCTTGACTTTCGAAAAGCGTTTGATACAATAGAATGGAACTACTTAAGAGCCGCTTTACAAACGTTTAATTTTGGCCCTGACATACTCAACTGGTTTTAAGTTATTTACAACCAAGCATCGAGCTGTGTACTGCACAATGGTCATGCATCGGACTTCTTCCTTCTCGAGCGAGGTGTGCGACAAGGTTGCCCACTATCTGGCCTCCTTTTCGTCGTTGGAATCGAACTCTTAGCTAGAGTACTTAAGAAAGACCATTCTATTAAAGGCATCCAAGTCGGTCAGAAGGAAATTAAGATAACTCAATACGCAGACGATACCACCGTTTTGGTGCGAGATCTTGATTCTGTCACACAATTACTAAAACATTTAGACAAATTCAAGCAGATCAGTGGTCTCGAATTTAACACAAACAAAACCGAAGCGTTGTGGTTAGGATCTTGGAGGTCGCGCAAAGACAAGCCGTTTGGTTTTAAACGGCCCCAAGAACCAGTCTATGCCCTTGGTATACACTTTTCCTATGACTTAAAGCAAGCCAACACCCTTAACTTTGAAGAAAAGGTTTGTTCTTTTGAAAAAACACTCAATAATTGGAAAAAAAGAAAGCTAAGTTTAATTGGCAAAATCAATATTGTCAAGACATTAGGTTTGTCGAAACTCATATATTGCAGTTCGTTACTGACCGTATCTAAATCCCTTATAGACAGAATTAATAAGATTATTTTCAGCTTCATTTGGGAGGGTAAGCTCCCAAAATTAAGGAAAAGACTATCATTGGTGAAAAACACTGTGGGGGCCTAAAAATGATTGACTTTAAAATCATGGAGCGGTCGCTAAAGATTGCTTGGATAAAGCGTATTGCTGAATCAAGTAATGCATCGTGGAAAAAAATCCCAAATCAAGCTCTTAACCAATACGGAGGTCTAGAGTTCCTCATCGAATGCGACTACGATCCTAAGCTACTCAACTTAGAGAACCTCCCGGAGTTTTACCACACCATTTTAAATTACTGGCATGACTTCAGAAGACTAACCTGTGACAAGCAAATTTCCATAAAAAAACAAATAATTTGGAACAACCGTATCATATGTATTGATGGAAAACCGATTTACAAGTGTTTACCGGTGTACAAGTGGAATTCGTTGCATCGAAGACCTTCTAAATGTTAACCTTAAATTTCTTACCTCAGGGGCGGATCCAGGATTTTTTTTTAGGAGGGGGTGCACTCGTCTCTTGCTCTACTTCAACACCAATAAACCACATAGTTTTTTTTTTATTTTTTTGAAGAATACCAGTTGTATTAGAAAACCGCAGGTCATCTCAAGGGGGGGTGCGCACCCCCTGCACCCTCCCCCTAGATCCGCCCCTGTACCTTATCAGAAATGAAAGAGAAATATAACTTTGAATTTCCTTTTACCACTTATTACGGCCTTTTAAGAGCAATCCCAACTAAATGGAAAAGTGCACTACGAGTCAAAGCAGGCGTGCATGATGAATCTGAAAAGTGCGAAACATCCTTGAAGCTTTCTTCCACAAAAGAAGCCTATTCTTCCATACTTGATAAAAGCTTCTCAGTACCCACTGCTGAAGGCAGAATTCTAGATCATGGGTTCACCAAAGAGGAAACTCCTTACATCTACATGCTCCCGTTCAAAATCTTGAAAGATCCAAAACTGATCATGTTCCAAGTCAAAATTATTCACAACATTTTACCTACCCAATCTGGCCACTTCCGCGCGCGCATAACTGATACTGATGTTTGTCCTTTATGCAACCTTTAATGTCAATCTCTAAAACATATGTTAATTACCTGTAGAGTATCCTCTTCGTTTTGGACTTGTTTTTCTAAATGGTGGCACGAAAAATTTAATCACAAACTGACTTTATCTGAAAGCACTATTCTATATGGTTGGCACAAAGAGTCAAATAACTGGGAAGTGCTTAATTACTGTTTGATTGTCGCCGAATATAATGTTTTTGCTACAAGCGTACGCAACGGCGTCCTGGACTTTGACAGTTTTCTACTGCGTCTCAACAACAAAATTGATATTCTTCGCACCATTGCTTTTAGATCTAACCGCTTATCGCAATTCAAAAAAACATGGGACAAACTTCTTTAGATACGTGAATGCTAGTGTCATTTCCTTCAAGCTAAACTTTACTGCTATACTGTTTCACTTATCAGGTTTGCGTCTTTTTCCTTTTAATTTAGTTTGTTTGTTTGTTTTTTGTTTTTTGTTTCCTTTACAAATTTAGTTTGTTTTTTGCCA